AGAAGAGCAAATGGAAGATGAGCAGGAGTGCAGCTTTGAATTGAGAGTTTGAACCCATAATGAGTCTAAAAACACCCAAGAGCCGGGGATGGATGGAATAGAGAGGCAGTAATGCTGGTCAGTGCATGCTTGAGTGGTGGAAAGATGGGGGGATGTTATAGAGCTCGTTCCAAGAGTTGCAAGCAAGGTACCCCCAAGAGTTGCCTTCCTCACAATGGTGCAAATACGGCTGACAGTTGGCTGCTGGAATTGATTGGGGTGTTTTAAATTTTAAGTTTTCAACTCTTACCAAACCTATCATTTTCTTATTTATTGGATTGGAGCTCCATTTGGCTTTAGTCAAAATCTTTCTGATTTAGTGATGAGTTTCGGGTTGCATGTCGAAAGCTGATCGAAAACTTATCAGCGCTCGCAGAAACTGATCTTCGAAGTAAAATGAATTATTGGCGAGGATGATGAAGAAAATTGATCCGAATCCACGACAAAACACGTTGAATGTAGTGGTGCATTCCGTATCAGTTTTGTTATGTGTCTTAAGGCAGGTGAAGAACTTGGGCTCTTATAGAAGATTTTACAGCTTCAAAGATGTCGAACCCAACGTTAGAGAGCCTTTTTATTGTTCATGCAAAAACCGGAGGACTCTGGGTAACCTGAATTTTGTATGGCAGTCGGAGAATAGTGTTGCCGTCCATTACCACATTCTTTTCAAACTTAGCAACAGTGAATGAAGTATTCATAATAACAGCGTACCGACGGATACATTGCAGTTGGGTGATGAATTAATCGCTGCAAAATGTTCACTGAGAAGACCTCTGACAATACATTACGTACCGACGATTATGCCTTTCGTGTGTCCGTTTCTAATGGTCAACGATCAAGTGGACCTGATGTATGAAACAGAAGGCGACTTGTTTCGACCTGGCTAAAGTCAGTGGTGGTTGTGCCGGTCATTCCTGATGATCGATGAATGAGGACTATATCTCAACGGAATATAGCGTATTCACAGTGTTAAATTATGTTGCCTCGGGGATAGCAATATGGTAATTCAAGTAGCAAACTGGGCGCTAATCCTAATAGTTAACAAATTTCGCCATTCAATAATGCAGGAAATTGAACATGGCAGTCTAGCTTGCTTTCACGCTGCTTTCATCAGATGAGGAAACTGATTTCGAATAATTGTTTTCCCTGTCTCTTAGGACCAAATCTTTGGTTATATTCAAACATCCTTTTTTCTTTTTCTGATTAGCATTCTTCCCTTTGAGTCAGTCCTGAAATTAAAAATGGATGTCATGTTCAATCGTCTTCCCCACAGTTCAGACAATAACTTATTTTTAGCCACCATGATTATTACTATTCAACACTTGTCTTGGGATTTGTTTTGAGGTCAACGATGATCCAATTGGCTTGAGTAGAGAGAAGGAAGGCTACTTGATGTATGAGATGGGCACAAAGTGATGCCTTTTTTAATTTTCTGATTAATATTTTTCCACTTTGATTTGGTCCTGAAATTGATGGAGGTCATGACCAATCGTCTTCCCAACAGTTCCGACAATAACTTATTTTTAGGCACCATGATTATCATTATTCAACAAGTTGTCTTGGGATTTTGTTTTGAGGTCAACGATGATCCAATTGACTTGAGTGGAGAGAAAGAAGGCAAGTTGACTTGGGAGACTGACTGAAAGTGATGCACGGCATTGCTTCTGCAGACATGCTAAAGGCCAGTCAGGGATCAACAGATCATTATGGATACACAATTCGTTCCTAACTGCATCCCCATGGAATGTGTGCTCTTAGGAAATTTTGAATCTGTGATGAGCGATATACACAAGTATTCTCGCTCCAATTGACCTCAAAATTTGACTAAATATTTTCTATTTTTGTAAAGAAAATTCAGCAAATTTATAATTTATAAATACTTGAAAAAAAGCCAATTAAGAATAATTTAATTTTATAGGGTTTTTCCAAGTCGAACACAACCAAGATAAGAAATTAGTTAATTGATGAATTATTTTTATATATTTTTTATAAGAAAAAATAATTTTAAAATAAGAAATTAGAAATTATGATGTCAGCTGACATCAGCCCATGAAGAACACCCCAAATTCAAGTTGTGGGAAATATGTTCACTTGTATTTCTTAAAATCAAAGCCAAAATACATAGAAATAAACTTTTATTTTAATAGAGAAATTATTCGTAACATAATTTAAAACTGAATAGAACTTTTTATAAATTAAAAGGAAAGTAAATCATCTAAAGATTCAAGTTTTATAGAAGAATGGGTGAAATGGTCGCAATCAAATTTCTGCCTGAATTTGATCGATTTGTGCAAGCACGGTGCACCAAATGAATTCCTACACAATCTCCAGTCGATGAATGATGATCCCAACAATTGTCACTTGCTAGAACCAGTTGACAGTGGTGGTTTGACTATGAGTGTGCTGTGGTGTTTGAAGAAGGATCCTCAAAAGAAATTCTTCACCATTTGTATTGGGTGAAGAATGAGATGAGTTCGTGGATGAAGTTCAGCTTATGTAACGGCTGAATCAAAAAAAAGTTGAGAAGAAATCTGTTGTTCGTATCAGATTAGATAATTTGAGTAAATCCAACATTTGTCACCATGAGAGGAGAGAGAAAATAGTTGTGGAAAGAGATAAATTGATCGAAGATGCCTCATCCTTCCTCCTAGTGTTTTTCCATCTTCTTATGGATTAACTTTGTCGATTTTGTCGAATCATCTATCAAACTTCTCACTATATTCATTATGTCTATCGTTGATTTCGAAATCCTAAAAAAAGAAATTAGTATCGTATATAATTTTATTATTTATTATAGTAAGCTCATAAAAAAATCAAAAAAAATTATGAAAAATTTAGGAATAAATGCAATTAATATAAAATTTAGGAATAAATGCAATTAAGATAAAAATTTAGGAATATTTCCAATTGATAATAATATTAATCATTGGAAAAATCTATCAAAATATTTCATAGTCAATTTCATCATATAACTTCTAGAAAGTAACAATATAACTATATAAATAAGTTTAATATCATTTTTCTACATTAAAGGAATTTATAAATATTTCTGTAAAATTAAATAAAAAATTATAAAATATTAAGCATTTTATCATGTAATTAATGAGAGTTATCAGAGGTCATGATCAATCATCTTCCCAATAGTTTAGACGATAACTTATTTTTAGCCACCATGATTATTACTATTCAACACGACTTGTCTTGGGATTTTATTTTGAGGTCAACGATGATCCAATTGGCTTGAGTAGAGAGAAGGCTACTTGATGTATGAGATGGGCACAAAGTGAAGCCTTTTTTAATTTTCTGATTAATATTTTTCACTTTGATTTGGTCCTGAAATTGATGGAGGTCATGACCAATCGTCTTCCCAACAGTTCCGACAATAACTTATTTTTAGGCACCATGATTATCGTTATTCAACAAGTTGTCTTGGGATTTTGTTTTGAGGTCAACGATGATCCAATTGACTTGAGTGGAGAGAAAGAAGGCAAGTTGACTTGGGAGACTGACTGAAAGTGATGCACGGCATTGCTTCTGCGGACGTGCTAAAGGCCGGTCAGGAATGGACAGATCACTATGGATACACAATTCGTTCCTGACTGCATCCCCATGAATGTGTGCTCCCAGTAAATTTTGAATCTGTGATGAGCGATATAGACAAGTATTCTCGCTTTAAAAACGAAATTAGGCTATCGGACTCACGTAAATCTCTAGCTGATAACAAAAATCGAAAATCGCCTCTTGCCTTCAATTGAGAATCATGCCTCCATTGTTAAGACGGGTTTGTATCGGACATCCATACGTATGTCGTCTTTATTGACTTAAATTTGATCCTCAGCAATCACTACAGTATACAACCGTAATATATTTTAATGTATCATAAACAACGTTGAAGGAGAATACTCTGTCTCACTCAAGAAGGAGAGGGGAACGGAGAGGCGCAGAGGAGACCCATGGCGCCGTGGGCTCTGGTTCTTAATCGCCACGGCTGAGCAGCGAAGAGCCGTGGGTTCTAGTTCTTAATCGCCTCGGCTGAGCAGCGAAACGCTGCCTTCCATGGGGATTAGGCCCTCCGATTCGTCCGGAGGCCGTCCCCCTCCACCACGGCCGGCAGCCTCGCCACCCCGCAGCTACGGTAAGTCGGACGGATCCTCCATCTGCGCGCGTGATTGATCTTCTTTGGGCACCCAAATCGCACCCTTCGGCATTATTCTCATGGTTCCACACTTTCGCGTCCTCCTAGGGTTTCGGCGGAAAAATATCAGGTTCTTTCGTCATCTCGACTGGGGTTATGTGGGCTTTTCGTGGGGCGAAATACACCTGGACTGGGGATCCGTTGCATTCAGGGTGTATGCAGCTCCATAGGTCGGGAACTTTCTGGATTTTGCGATTTCTTGTCAAGCCTGTTTTTCTTTCGAAGACAAAAAGCTGTAGCATCCCCACTAGAGTTCTGGAGTGAAGATTCTGAACCGCCCCCGAAAAACTCGACTTCCTTCAACTTCTTGTACTCAGTGAACTTGTTTGATTCTGGTCTTTAATCATGGGAAATTTCTTGGTTGTCCGTAAAAGAGTATCGTACAGACAAAGAGCCGAAACTTCACAAGTAATTATTTGCCGATCATCTAACCGCAGTCTTCTTTTGGTTAAGACGATAATCACAGCGGGTAATCAAGCAACTTGAAAATCTATGAGGTAGCCACAGCTTTAAATATACCGGGATTTAAACTCTTTTCGTCTTAGTTTATTCTATCCAGTCCATCTACCCCGCTGAAATGATGCTCGTCTTTTTGTGAGATTCTTGCTAGTTGTGTTGGTATGTAATCCTATTTTAGGAAAGGGCACGTTGGAAACATTGTGTTTTATAGGAAAGACAGATTTGTTTTCCCAATTGTACTCACAGAATCACCTGATGCCGATGCTGATTTTACTTTGTGACAGAGCTGGCCAGTGCACTATGGAGGATGTATGCTGACAGAGTGTACTCTCGATGGGAGAAGACATTCCTCTGGGATATGATCGAACCCTACAGACGGCCCAAGTCTTTCACTCCTCTTATCTCCATATACATAGCTGCGTTCTACACTGGCGTCATTGGGGCAGCATTAACAGAGCAACTTTACAAGGTACTTCAATTGCCCATCAACCCTCACCAATGTGCCAGGGTTACACCGTGTTACACCAGAGGTCACGCAGGTGCTAGCAATCTGCTATAGATCATCCATCGCATCATCAATATACCACCCAATTTTGGCGTACATGATCCATAAGATAGTCTATATATTCTCTACCATTTAGGGTGGATGATCCATCCAACATCCCATGTGCAGTACCATTTGTTGCAGATGATCCATTAGATATGTCTCTACATGTACCGTGCCCATTTGTCATAGATGATCCATCAGACTGTCCGTACACTGCATCATTTGTTGTGGATGATCCATATATTCCCAGTTTTTCGCAGATTATCGCATACTGCATAAGAAGGTGCCTTTAGTTTGACATGGTCCGGCATTTAAACTCTCCTCTCTTCTTTTTCTCTGGGGTCATTCAGGAGAAGTACTGGGAGGATCATCCAGGTGAAGCTGTTCCTTTGTTGAGGCCAAAATTCTACTATGGCCCCTGGAAGATTATGAAGGGAGAGCCTCTCCCACCAAACATGTGAAGGTGAACGGTAGCTGTATGTCAGATGCTGTGAAGGTGAACGATAGCTGTATGTGGATGCTGTGACTGTTGTATCAGAACGGTTTTAGTGATTAATAAAATAATTTAAATTCTTTAAATTGGAAGGTCTGAATGCTGAAGTTGATTTCCTTGCCTTTCAAGCATGCGTTTGGGAGCACGCATATCCAGGCTTCTTGATTGGAGATGATGCAATATTTTTTTCTTTACCTGACATAAATTGTATGCGGTATATCATCATCGTTGCCCCAGTATTAGTACTGCTTTTCAGCTGCATTAATATTGTTGCCTATCAAAATCAGCAGAGATGTGCCTTCTCTCTGGGGAAAGTCGTTATATATTTTATTTATTTTTCCAACTTGAAGTCATTCGAATGAATATGGGTTCACCTTGAATCTGAGTTTCGTTCAGGGGCCTTCTCTCTTAATCTCTTTCTGCTGTTTTTATCTTATTTATAAAATTGCTAAGAAACAAGAAGTCTTGCTCACTTTGCTGAGAAAACTCTTTTTAGTTCTCTCTCTCTCTCTCTCTCTCTCCTCTCTCTGTCTACCCACAAATGGTTGCAACCTTGCTTTCTTACTGAGTTGATTGCATCTCCATCGCTTACTAAGTCCCATTTCATCGTTGAGAACCTATTTAGTTCTCTCTCTCTCTCCATCTCTCTCTATAACCATAAAGGGTTGCAACCTTGCCTTCTTAGTAAGTTAGTTCCCCTTGATCTTCTCTCTAGCCCCGGTTTGGTTCTCTACTTTGTATAAGGCAATCCTTCTACAGAGGTGGATCTGTCTCCGACCTCAATATCTTCGCCAACTAAGGACAAGCGAACCCAATCGGCAGGGTCAGCCCACAGAGATTCAGCAGAAGCTTGATATCGCCTGGGATGCTGATGTTGATACCCAGGATGTTTGCCTTGATCGCAATGCAAAGGCATGAAGCAGCCTGGTTCGCTGACAGGGTCTTGATGATAGTACAGCAGAGCCCGTTAGGATTCCCGAGACCGAGGAATTTCAGGATGGTGAGCACCGGAGTGCAAATGGCTAGGGATATTATGTTAATAACACATCTCAGAATCGGAAAGGCTGGCGGAGGAGGAGCAGGCACCGGTTCTGGGCTAGGGGTTTGGCCAGAAACTAGTGTAAAGAAGAGCAAATGGAAGATGAGTAGGAGTGCAGCTTTGACATGAGAGTTTGAAGCCTTAATGAGGCTGATACTAAGCCAGCTAAGAGCGGAGGATTAAAGGAATGAAGGGGCAACGCTGCTGGCCAGTGCGTGCTTGAATGTTAGAAACGCAGGTGCTCTCATAGAGTTGGTTCTAACGGAAGCGAGGGATACCCATACCGAGAGTTGCTTTCGTCATAATCCCACAAATTCAACGGACAGTTGGCTGCTGGAATTGACTTGATTCGTTGTTGGACTTCCCGTTTGTTCTAAAGTCTACATTTCTTAATCTTACGAAACCTTTCATCTTCTCATTTATTGGAACGCAGGCAGCTACATCTGCTTGAACTCGACATCTGTCCGATTAGAGGTGGGTATTGGGTTTCTGATCGCGTGTCGAAAGCTGGACGGAAACTTCAAGGCTCTCGCAAAAACTGTCCTTCGAAGTAAATAAAGAGAATTATTGACGAGGATGATGAAGAAAACCTGTACGAGTCCAGGAAAAAATATGTTTTACGTACACGCATTCCGTATCGATTTTGCTACGTGTCTTTAGCTAGATGAAGTATTTCGGACTCTCACAGAGATGCATCCTCGACATGAGTGGAGAGATGCGAATTGAAGACCTAACGTTAGTGGACGTATGTATTTTACATGCAAAAACCTGACCACTCTGGATAAACGTTCGCACTATCCTTTCATACTTAGCAGCGGCGAAATAACAACTCCTGTAATCAACGTCCTCAAGGATCCATTACAGTTGGTGAACGAATTAATGGTTACAACAACCTTGGTGAGAAGACCATCAGAAATCGGCGTGATTAATGCTGTCGTGTGTCAGTTTCTAATAGGCAACCATCCAGAGGGCATGATTAATGCTGTCGTGTGTAAGTTTCTAATAGTCAACCATCCAGAGGGCATGATTAATGCTGTCGTGTGTAAGTTTCTAATAGTCAACCATCCAGAGAGCATGATTAATGGTGTCGTGTGTCGGTTTCTAATAGTGAACCATCCAGAGAGCATGATTAATGCTGTCGCGTGTCAGTTTCTAATAGTCAACCATCTAGAGGGCATGATTTAAGAAACGATAGGGAACTTGTTTAGACCTAGTTGAGGTCGTTAATGCTTACGGTCACATGCATAGCTGATAAGCATAACGTGGAAATGTGTTAGCTACCTCTTCCGGCTGCCAACATTTTATTGGACGAAACTGGATATAATGCTTAGTAATGCCGTGCATCTCCGCGCATCGTTAGTCAAAAGTGTTACCCAATTGCAGGTTAGGCGAAGCAATGTCGCGCATCGCTTTCTGTCAGTCTCGCACATCAACTTGCCTTTTTTATCTCGACTGAAGCCAATTTGGTCATCGTTGACCATCCCAACATAATCTGAAGAAAACTTGCTGAATATGACAATCACGGAGGATGAAAATAACTTTCTGTATAAACTACTGGAAAGGTGGTTGCCCCAGAGTAAACAATGTTAATGAGAAAATGAAAAAAAGGATGTTTGAATATTATCTAAGTTTTGGTCCTAAGAGACTAAGTGGAAAAAGTTCTTCCAAGTCACTTTCACCCTCTAATAAAACCTGTGTGAAATCAAGTTACGCTGCTAGTTTTACCTTTTTGCCTTCTTGAATGGCGACAAACTCCATTGATTAGGGACTAACATGCTTCTTCCATTACCATATTTCCCTGTCTGAGACGACAAGATGAGCAACTGCAAATAGGATAGATTTCCGTGATAAGCTGCGTGACTATGATTTTCATGTCTGTTTCATATGGTCAACGCTCCAGTGGGCATGATTTAAGAAATCGAAGGCAACTTGTTGAGACCTAGCTAAACTTAGTGGTGGTTGGGCCGATCATTCTTGATGAGTCATGAATGAGGAATATATCTCAAAGAACTATATTCTACTAGAAGCGATTGCAACACATTTGTTGTGATCATCGCCACACACATCACGACTCTTTGTGATTTTCTTCAGCCTATGTATTTAATGTTATTTCTCCCGAACTGAGAGTTTGCACAGATGTGGGAGCATGGGGATCCAAGGGAGAGAAGCATGGGAGCATGGGGGACCAAGGGAGCTTCAGACTTTTGAGCCAACTTGTGTTCGAACAGTCAAGTGTTAAAACATAGTGGTAAAAAATGATATTGTAGTTGATTTGGCTTCATCTATCAAAAATGAAGATCATGACGAAGTGGTAATTTGAAACATTATTTGTTGTTTTTTGATGAAAATAAAAAAGGTCATAAATCATTCAAAAGTTGTACAAATATCTAGGATGAAATGGATATTAATCAAGTTTCACACATCTTTTGGAAAGGAGTCTGTTCATTGGTGGCTCACTATGAACAATGCATAATTTTTTCAATTAGATAAAATGCAAAAGACTTTTGCAAATTAGAAATTACAGACAACATCCAATGAAGGCATTCACATACATAATAAAAAGGATCCAGAGACAAGTAGGCACTCAATGACATAATAATTATGTCAATCTTATAACTACAATCTTGAAAGTCACTTGCTGGTTCAATTCGAATGACGAAATTGTCTCCTTACTCATCATAATTTAACTTTGTCTACCAGCAAAGTGCACTACATGAGAACTTTCACTTTATATAAATGAAAGAAGAAAAGTAAACTTGCATCTAGAGATTGTTTATTACAAAGAAAATAAAATTTCTGAACCACTGAATTTTTAGTTTTTTAAAATATGGGGACAAGATTCATCAAAGTGAACATGTTACTATTAACATGATTTTTGGTATTTAAATTATTTTGTTTATATATTTTCATGTGTTAATTTTTAAAAGAACTGCAGAAATATATTATTAAATTAGGAAGTCAGAAGTTAAATGAGTTAAAGTGTTTATCATAGTAGGCCACTAGATGACCATCCACTATGGCCCATGACAATGCTTGGATTGGGGACTTGTCAAAGGGCTAAGTCACGTTTAATTAATATACCCATTTTTTCCACAACTTTCAATATAGAACTAAATAATTGTGACATGTTTTAGAGCTGGTGGTGCATAACAGTACAAAATGATACATGAAGTGCCATGTGACTAGGAACATAAGTGAACCAGTATGTAATGATTTGATCCAACAACACTTGGATTGCCATGTTACCTTTGGCATATAAATGACATTATTGATTATTGTTTGATAAAATAGACATTATTGGTTATCATCATAAGCAACATAAAAACTAGAAGATAGTTGTAAATACAACATCTATTCTTTCCTCCCTCTGTGTGATCAAAACCTTTGGCAATTGATGAGCACATTTCTTCCTCCCTTCAATACACTCAAGGCCTTTGGTGAGTGGTCAGCTGATCCTCTTTCATCCTAGATGATGGTAACAATGTCATTAATCTTATTCTTGGCAAATTTCTCTAGTTAGTGACACAATGATAATATTACATTTGCACTGCATAATTTAGAATATTTACATATATATTGATTATATTTAGTAAACATAATGGCTTGAATTCAATATGGAACACCATTATTATGATTTGTGCAATTTTTAGGTAGAAAGCACAAATTATGTTTTATACATGATATATGGATTTAGTACATATGAATTATTAGTTGGAAAACTATCTTTAACGTATTAGACGCATTTATATGATATTTAGAATTTTTAATAAGATATAGAAAGGAGTATCTTATTCATTATGGACTTATATCTAATTTTTATTAATGAAGAGGACATTTTATATTTTCATGAGATGGCATTGTATCTCACATACGAGTCTTTTAAGCATCTCACGTGAGTCTTACTTTATTATCTTTCTATTCACAGTGAGTTAATTCCAAGAAGAGAGAAGGAGAACGTGGAGTGACGAATCAAAATGATAAAAGAAGGAAAGGATGGGTGGCCTGATTTTTAGGAGTCATAACTCCTCACAACCATGCATGAAGTGTGGAAGTAGGAGGCTGATAGAGTGGAGAGGAGAAACTGCCAGCATAATCGCTCATAAATATCCTCCCCTCTCATGAATCTCGTTCTTATTCCAATTTATATGGAGGAGAACCAGAAAGAGTATCTAGTATCTGTTTTGTGAAGATCATTCTGAGTTTGGAGTTGTGTTTATCTTAGAACATTTTTGAGCTGTCTAGAGAGAGCTGTTCCTTCCATTCTCCTCGCTTCAAAGAACATATCTTTGGAGTCTGTTCCTTCCATTTTTGATTGCATTGGGGAAAATGAATCCAATGCTTAAGATTCTGAGAATTCTTGTGATAGAAGATTAATATTTGATAGTCAAAGTTATCATGTTTTTTGGCCCTCAAGAATTGTTATCTAGCAGCTTTCTAGGCGTTGAGTTTTTGACTTCATTCATTCATTCAAATCTCTCTCATGTCCTTCCAATGATAAGATGGGTGGAATTTATGTCCACTCCGTGTAGAATATGCTTGTTTAAAAACCCTAATCCGATCTCATCTTCTCACTGAGTCCAATAGAAGGGAATTGGACAAGAAGCCATTGTAAGCACCAAGCAAGGCTCAAGCTTCCAAGATTCTTTTCATGTTCTAGGCAAGCTAGGCTTGCCTAGGCAATTGACACCAAAGGGTCAAACAAACAAAGACTATATATGTTATAGCTATAGTGATTACATTGTTATGCATTGCACTATGGATGAAATCTCTGTTTATAATTGATCATGAAAATTAGGGATGCTAGACATTTTTTATTTTATCTTGTGTATTTATATGCCCAAATTATCTTTCAAGATGGAGAACATGTGGTATAAGTTAAATAATATGAAGTTGCATCACAAATGCAAAGAACCAAAGTTTTTCCATAAATCGTTAGACAAAGTGGATTTAAAATTTATAGTGTGCTCAAGATGTCACAAGTAGTAGAATGAATGAGAATCCCAGAAAAGATAAATGCCCATCTCTCTCTCTACACGTTATTTATTTATTGCTCATGTGTGTATATATCTGTATGGATCTATCTATGATTTTCAATAAGAAAAGGTCAAGACCATGCTCATCTGTAAGCATGCAGTCACGACCAGACAAAGGCTACAATTGTTCTAAATTGAACAAAATCTGCGCTCTTGATGATCATTTGAGAAGCCCATTCATGCAGGTTCATGAAGACAAGACTCTCTTGAAGAATGGCAGAAGAAGAGCCACAATAATACAATGGCTCATTTTTTACAATAATTTACACCACGGATTCTAAACTTTTCTATTATTATGAAATTCCACACCCTCATTAGCCCTCATAACCTAAGAAAGCAGTCAAACCAGTTGCTCTCTGAACAATGTAATACGATCATGAGATGAGCTTAATATATCTTGTTCTAGTCGTGGAGCCCACGTTTCTGCGCTGGGCAACAACAAGATGACACTCTTTAGTCATACTTATGTGTGTGTGTGTGTGTGTGTGTGTGTGTGTGTGTGTATGTATACACATGAAAAGTGCATGGATGCCTCCATATAACAGTAATGTTCATGAGTCATATAGAAACAACTGAAAAGGTGAATCCTAAGAAAAATTCAGAAGCTCATTTGAAAAGCACAGGGAGAACATGCTGAAATCTAGGCGGCTTGGACACCTTGGAACTCTGGGTTCCCTAGTCACCTAGACGGTACCCTAAAATAAACTACCCCTCAAGTTTGTTCATTCGAAGACAAAGAATGAAAAAGAACACCCGGCATCTCTTAGTCCCCCCTTCCTAAATGAATTTGAAGGTTCCAAAGGTAAAAACTCAAAGTGAAATGACAAAGATAGCCCTCCCCCAGCAAAGCATGTCATAGGTTCTTGATGCATACACTAGAATAAAAGAAGGAACCAATGAATAAACTTTCCCTAGAACACTCATCAACATGGGCAACAAGGCTGTCTCATTAAATTGAGTATGAGCATGTTTACCTGAAGCAGTATCTCCTTAAGTGAACCTCTCAGGCACCAACAGGCTTGCCATTCAACTTGGGGAAAGGATCTTGTTTACTGAGAACTACTACTTTGCTTTTGTGAGCAAAGTAGCCTTTCATGAGATTCTTGTATATCAAGATAGCCATTATGCACTCGACCTAGAAGAATCAAGATTAAAATCGAGGGTAACGAAGAAGGAAGAGTTCCAGGTTGTACCTCATCAATGTCCACATCCATTTCGAGCCACTTCAAGGCTTTGACGACGACTTCCATCTTCACCTGATGGGCTTTGCTCGGATCCTTCAGCCTCTGAAGCATGTAACTGCAAATAAATAGTTCGTGTTAAATCACATCTATCAGTTGCAGTCAGAAATTCAATGGGCCCCTAAAGAGAAACACACATCTTTTTCATCAGTCTTTGATAGACTTGGAGCTCTAGCTTCTCAAGGACGAGATAGACTCCTGATTTCAAGAATCTGTTAAACTAAACGAGTCAGATTAAGAATTCCTAGATCACGAGATTTACGTCACATTAAAGCTGCAGACCTGTTTTCATGCTCTAGAAGGGCACCCCTGAGGAGACGGATATCACCTCTCTTCAGTGCTTGCACAACTCTTGTGTACTGAGAAAATTAGAACACATTAAAATTCCAAGTACCAGCTTCAAAGAATAATAATTCCATGGTATTATGGTTGTATGGAAACAACAGAAAAACACTCGCACTGCAAGTGATCAAAGGATAACACATTTTCATCAAACATTCTATAGCGGTAAAAATGTTTTGCACTGCAGTCCCATCTTAACAATTATAACGGCAAAAATGAGCATCCGACCACTTCATACAAAGAGTGCACCACCTGGGTCTTAATTACATAAGGACAACCCACAACCCCTCTTCAACAACTGTTGTTGAAACAAAATTTCATCTGCCCAAGAAAATGTATTCATGTCTGCCTTCAATGGATCACCTTGTTTCCCCAAATAGCCAGTTTATTTTGTTGATGGGCAAGGGTCATGGGGGATGAGAGAGCATCAGGAGGTTTGAGGTGGCTGATTTGCAGAAAGGTTAGATGCCTATGTTCAGCCAAGTTTTATTTCATCTGTATGGGATTTATGGATAAAGTTCAGCTTGTCTGGGTCTTAGTGAAGAGGCCTGATCACTGAATAAAATATTTTATAGTGCACAAAAGCTCAAAAAACACCATCCAAAATATTTCTACAAAATGTAGAACATTGAAAGGTCATGCGACAAGATAAAAGAAAACACACTTACCTCAACCAAATTATACTTTTCTATTAGAAACTCTGTCGGCAAAATTCCCAATGAAAGCTTTACAGGAATAAGGTACTTCAGAATCATCCTATTTTCACAAGTGATATCATTCGTCAGATATGATCAACAATCTATAAAAAGTTTGGATCTCTAGAATTTGACAGGAGGCTCTTAAATGAAGCATAATATGTGATTTTTATCACGTAGATCATTAATTTTGCATGTAATAGTTCTGCAAATCATCATTTGTTATTAATAATCTACCAAAATAATGATTTAGCGAATAACAAGAAGTCACTCATCAACCTTTCTGTTCCACCCATATAGCATGCCATAACCCCAACTCATAACTCAAAGCCTAAGTTCATCAGGATTTGAATAGTCAAATAAAAAGCAGCAACTTGTGAAAAAGGGCGATTAGGAAATCAAGTTTTGCCCTGTGAAACGGTACGACTAAGACAGATATGATAAAAAATTTAATGAGCAGAATAGCTCTCATGTGCAATATCCATCCATACAATATACCTCAAAAGATACTGCAAAGTGTGTTAAAAATGGACATAGTCCTTGGAAGAAGAACGTGAGGCATAGCATGAAATAGAAAAAAAAACAATAACATAATGGTTAATGTCGTAGGGTAGGACTTAATAATTTCATACAAACCAAATGAAAGGAATCCTTGATCTGAAGAACAGGTCCCACTTATCTAGATCTGAAGAACGGGAATTCAGCTACAGTGGACAACTAAGACTACTGCAAAGACCACATAGCAAGCAGGTCATAATTGATGAGGATCTGCATTCTTATTCAGAAAGGCCTAGGGGATCATAGATTCTTTCAAAAGAGGGAAAAGAAAAATCTAAGATAAAAAATTTCTTCAACGAAAAGGTTAACTTAAAAAATCCTAATATCAAAAGCCTTTGTCAACACAGAATTACCTTAAGAAGTCTTTATACAGGACATACACATAGACTGGAAACAAATGTATACACAAGAGATGTATTCTCAAAATCAGTGTAGAAATTTCTGGACCGTTACAAGAAGCATTTTTACAGGACATACATACCGATTTGAAATAAAAATACACAGACCAGAATGTTCAAATTATATCCGAAATTATACGTATTGTGCAGCAAAAAATTGAATAAGCATTATCTGAAACTAATGTCAACACTTAGAGGGGAAAAACCTTATGTTGGCTTCTCGTCTGAAATTGCAATGTGACAAGGCGTACATCAACTTCTGTTCAGCCTGTATCACCAAGGAGTATCAGTATGAAGAATTTCAACTGCTCACTTGTTAATTACCAAATGCATTCCAGTCATACAGCCAGTACAGCATATACTTAATAGATGGTGTTAGTAGAATTTCACAATCTACTATGGAATAGTTCACAATGCCATTAACTATCATAATATTCGAAAATTAAACAAAATATGAATGTCCACAAAGTTTAGAAAAAGGGTGAAAACCCTAAACCCTAACATGAATATTGGAAAAAGCAGAATATTAGTGAAACGCAAAAAGACACAGCATAATATATAACCACGAAAAGGGATAGTTACAGAGGAAATATTTAAAATGTTCAAAGCAAACGTCAATGGATATAAGGCAAAAAATTGCAGAAGAGAAGGATTCTAGGTCCTAGCATTCTAGCACTTGTCTATATGCTTTCATTACTGGGTTACGTATGTTAAACTGCACTGAAATCGTAATTCTAGCAAACTTCATAGAACTTCAATGAATAGCAAAACATTACACAGTTCAAAGGTTTTTGTCACATACAGCCAGAAAATTTTCGTTGTAGACTTCAAGGCGTCCAGTGTAATACATGTACGTGACCTGAAATGAAGGTTTAATCAGCTTATCTAAAAGATGCCCTGTAATGTCCATTTAAGACTACGGAACCGTTCAAAGAGGAATAACAAATAAATTAGACCTTATCTCTCAATGGGAACTCTTCAAAATCAAAAATCCTGGCCGTTTCAATACTCCTTATAATACTTCGACACAAATGGACAGTACCAAGCTATAAAAGGGTTTACGTAAAGAATTAGTCAAATTTATGGCACAGCACTACATACTTACAACATGGAAATAAAATGGCCCCATAAAATTTACAACCGATGGGAACTCACTTTAAAATATATTTTGAATAGCTGGCAAGTCACATGTAAAGCACCAACTCGTTTAGGTCCTTTACTCTGCGAAAATTCCCCCAAACAATTCAACATAGAATGCAATGAGACAATAAAGAGTTATGCATTACAAAAACTTTCATTAAACAAATAAACAGGATCGAAGTTATTGAATATCTTCATAACAACTGTTTATAATTTCATGTTTCGACTGTAACATGAAAGGAATTACCATTTGCTATTCCATGACAGAGGTTCCCTTTTCTACAGTACCTACTAGAGTTCACTGTTTCCAGTATGACAATTTTTTGCTTTCTTGACTGAGAAAGAAACCACACCAGCAAAAAAGTTTTCCCCATGAAGGGAGGCAATGCCGATATATTCATAAACAGTGGATTTTAACATTGCAATGTGACTGATCGTCACAAACATCAAGCACTCCACCATTAATTTCGCAAAATTAGTTAAGTAAAAGCTAACGAATTCCTGCCATTTTATTCCGATTATTAGTAACCTTAGCTCAAATTACGAATAGAAGTGCTCTTCCATTCTGAGAATCAAAACCTGTCCTTAGACAAAAGAAAAAGAGAAAGTGTCTGGTGCAGAACCCATAATATGAATGTCTGTCCTGATAGCTCCCTCATCATATAAGCTAACGTATATGGTCAAAACAACCTAAATTCGTCTACAGCTTCAAATCAGATCTGATACTGGTAACAAAAAGAACTGATTAGAAGGTTAACTCCCCGCATGAACTCATGAGGGTGGATCACAGTATTAAAACAAAAAATCCAAAGTAGAAATCAAATGATGTTCATCATTTTTTAGCCAGTAGAATGCCATTGATAGCAAGAGTTTTTCAGCAGTCAATTTTCTGCCCTGGGAGAGAGAGAGCTTATTCAAGAGGCAGTATTAAAATCAAAATCAAAGCATTTCAAAAAATAATAAGCAAGAGGCACTAAACACGCATAATCATTAAGAGAGGAATCATAATATTCGCTACTCTTGCTGTCTCATGAAGATGCTTTATTTTTAATGTTTAAACACATGCTAAGTATATCTTAATGCTAGACACTAGTTATCCACATCCATGTACCATATACCTCAAAAAGAGCTTCATTCATGAAACATTCAAAACTTGTTTTTTATTTGTGCAATACGTTTACTCTCAATGTTTTTCTGATGATCTTACGTATGAATGCACCTTCACTTCTCAGACTGTCCTGAGCATCTGTTCTTCCTAATATTTTAATAATTACTGTCGGCTCTAGGCAAGAGTGGCATAACTAGAAGGGATAAATAGATCGGATATCAATTGTATGCCTAAAAAAAGAACGTCAAGATCAGAAATAACTCGGGAGTGCTACAGTGATTAAATCAAACCTAGATTTTTCCATTTCCCAAGCTCACCTGAGAATTTTTCATATCTTATTTTACTGCAGCCTATAAGATAGGTTCCTAAGTATGCTAAAAAAACTTCGTTTATATTTCAACCCATGCTCAGCAACGAACAAGAATATCAAATAATACTTCAACAAGGTAAAAGAACTAGACCATTAACCTTGTACTTAGGCCAGACTCGAATCTTCAAAACTTAAAGAGAGTTGTCACTTTTTGTTTTACTGATTTGAACTTTTTCAACAAAATTGATTATTCTTAAGACTAGAATGAGACCTCAGTCTTCACCCAATATAATTCTAGACTGTTCAGAATATAGCCATTAATCTCCTAGGATTTCATTTCAGTATTTTGCTTCCTTTCTGGTAAGAGCCAACATTTATCAGCATGTTGTTTATACTCACCATTCAATCTATACTTTGGGCCAACATTTACATTGACCATATGCAATTCTGGTTTCGATTTTAGAGGCAATGTGTCAGCCTTTACTAAATGGTTGTCGAAACTTGATGATCACAAGTCCCACATTCGGACACTACGTCAAATTTCAACATAAAATACGGCTTATTTGCTGCACATCTTTGCTGAAATGATTGAATGTGTCAAATAATACGGCTTTTTTTCCTTTTAAAACTTGCTCTTACTGATCAAACATTCTTAAATAAAATCAGCATAGATCAGAAGAAAAATTATCATCTTCTTGAAAAAAATCAACTTGCCAGGTTCAACAATAATGATCCTGAATTCCTATCCCATTGATGCGGGGAAAGTTAGATCCAATGAATGACCCAAATTATATATCAGTTTTTCAACAAACTGCCTTACATAATGTCAGCCCATTACAAATTGATACAAAGTGATTAGTTGAAGAAATATTTGAATTTGAGGCATATCAAAAGATTTCGAGACTAATTAATGGGTAGAAAGTAGAAACTACATTCTTCATTACACCCAAGTAGAGAAGGCTCAAGGGTAACTTTCAAAAGTTTCTATAACATTGTGCAGAGTACGATCAAAATGCAAAGAAGTTCCATACAAAATTTTACAAGCATCTTCTAGGAAGACTTTCAGTCAAGGAGATGATGAAAGCACAACGACAATCATAAAAAATGCTAAAAGAAAACAGAAGAGCCATTGAGAGATAGGTAGCGCAATTGAGATATATGACGTTTATTTCAAGCATTTGGCCAAGGAAAAATTTAATGTTGAGAAAATATGAAACCCACCATATCATAGATCCCAACCCTTGTTGTTTCAAATTTTCAATTTTTTCAACGAGTGATATCGTGGCCTCTTTAACCTATCCATTATGCAGGATACCTAGCAATCTCTATCTTTACATCTTATGCATCAGGTGAATCACCTCATTAGAAATGCACAATAAAGAGCTACGTTATTCTGATGATAGACAAAAGAGGGTATTTGACACATAAAAACATCTCAAGTTCAAGGCACATGATTCCTAGGAAAGTGATAACATGGCCATGTAATAAGCAAGAGAGAATTTTGACAATGGTGTCCACCAAAAAGAAAAGATATAAAGGACTCGAAAAGAAGACTCACAGCAAGGGCCCCAAAGACCTTCATCAAGTATGAACCCGCTCCTTTAAGCTTCTCTGGGTTTTTTCCAAGTGAACCTAGTTCCCAGTCAGCCTGCGATATGTGACAAATTTCTAAGTGCCGGAAAAAGGACATGAGAATATGATTTCTGAGAGTCTGTTCACAGGTTTTTGAAATGAAAGAGGGAAAAAGGTTTCAGAGATGAAACTCAAGATTTTAGTCGTCAAATATGGAGAGACAGGAAGCATGCAAGTACCTTCTCAGCGAGCACCCTGATCTCATAGGCGATAGTGTACAGAGGCTGCAGCGCCCACGCAGACTCCCAGTTTCGGAATTCTTGAAGAAAAGCGCTGGCGTTCTGGGAAGTCAGTCGAATATGCAAATGCAAGTTAAAAAAACACGGTAAAGACCGGGAATAACCCAAAAGAGGGGAACCAACTTTGCGGATTTCTCAAAGGCAATGTACGCATCCATAAAGCGACCAGCGCGAAAGCTTTGAACGGCGCGGAGGAGGTGACTGAGGATGTCCTCCAGTTGGCCGTCAACCTGCTTCAACAGCCTGCCCCAATCCTGATCATCCAACTGCGCCGGTCATCCCCCGACATGAGAAAGAGAAAAGAGCTCCAGAGAAATGCTCCACCTCCTCCCACTTACCTGGAATGCGGCGAGCCCGTCGGCGACGGAGAGAAGAAAAGGCGATGTGGAAGAGGAGGAGACGGAGAGGAGGGGCGATAGGGACGATCCTTCCTGGGAGTAGAAGGCATCCGAGAAGAGGCGGACGAAGTCCCCTACTCTCCGGTGAGCGTCACCCATCCTTGAACAATCTTCCGACTCCAACAGCCTTCGATCCCTCTGCCCCCCTTGTGCTCGACCCTCTCCCTCAACTAGCCGGCGCCACAGAAGTGTCAGACAGACAGACAGAGAAGGGAGGAGACCCGGTCAAGTTCAAAGTGTCTACTCGTCAATTTATTACGTACTATCCTACTTCAAAATTTCTGAAAATAGAATAAAATGCTTAAAATCAGTACCTTATACACGTTCAGCTGCCAAAAAAAGAAAAATATTTGCAAATAAACTTAGGCCATTATTAGCTCTAATTTCTCAGGTCAAAAATAAATTACTTTTATAGAAAATCAGCACCTTATTTACGTTCATGTGCCAATTAAAAAATATATATTTTGATCATTAAAAGGACGCAAAGGAAGACTTAGTGAGCTCAAAAAGGGGCCCCAAGTCAAGGAAAAAAGCATAAAATAAATTAATAAAATCAACTAGAGCCCTTTTTATCAACTTGAGACACACCCAACTCTTTGATTTCAAGCTATTCTTATCATAGGAAAGAACTGACAAGCACACACAACTCAACAAGTGCAAGAGACAACATTGGCATGGCAAAAAGGTGGCAATGCCCACTGCATGGACTCTTGATAATGGACTACGTGAAGGTTTGGGCACTTCAGTGTTGATGGAGTGTGGGACGGCTGGCTAGAGATTGAGGGAGTGTGTAGCATTAGCAAACATGAGACTCACTATTTGACAACTAGTATTAGAGTGGGAGACAAGGAAAAGCACATGGGAGATGACAGACAAAGGAGGAGGAGCTCAAGGCCTGCATCTTACAAGGTTAAAGGAGTAACTCAGGTGTTGGAGAGGACTAAGGAGTAGGAACAAGAAGTGACAACATCACAGCTCCAAATGCTCATTAGTAAGGTTGAGGAGCCATGAAAAACAACCCCTAGAGAGCAGGGTGCCAGTGAAGCCTAGGCAGACCAAGCAAGTGTCAAAGAAGTCAAATAGTACTTCAAGACCTAGTAACTAACCTCAAGTTGGTCAAGAAGGTGTTAGTAGAGCTCTTTAAGCAGACTCAGAACAAGCAAGTTAATCAGGAGCAAAACCAAACCACTTCAAAGGCAAGAAGGACAAGCTCGAGCTGGACCACTTCCTGTGGGAACTCAAGGATTACCTAGACAAATGAGACACAGAAAGAGAAGAGAAGGTAAAGATAGCTAATCATTTCTCAGTAGCAGACCCTTAGTTGTGATGGTGTGGACACTTGAAGGACAACAGCAAACCACCCATAGACACTTGGGAGGAGATTGATTGGAGCTAATCCTCTAGTTCCAGCTGACTAAACTATAGTTGGGTAGATCAAGGAACCAAGTTGAACCTCTAGTAGATAGGGACTGCAAGAGAATACATCCATCAAGTACACAACCCCCTCATGCTGCACATCAAAAATATGTTAGTGATAGACTGGCTATTCCTATTCCTCACGGGTCTCCAATTGTGGGCTCAAACCAAATTGAAAAGGAGGGAAATCCATGACTTATAGAAAGTCATAGTATCAATAGAATCCCAAGTCAACATTACATCTACATGGGGAGATGTCCCAAGATAATGATAACAAAAGTAGCCATGTATCGCAAAGAAGTGTCAAACAGTACTACCCGAAAGGTTGCTCAAATAAAAACTTGATGTGGGCACCACATGCTCCAACTGCAATAGGGACCCTAAGGATGTTATCACCACCTTGAGTTGCATACCTAGGATCGACAAAAAAACTGCCTAGAGAAATGAGATGAAAAATTCTAATTGCTCATTTCTTCTTGAGAGCAACAAAAGGAATCCTCAATACATGAGGACATGACACCTGGGGTAAATATCTTCCAAGTGTTAGGTGCCATGATCAGCCCACCAACATCAAAGATCAAACAGATCAAAACACAATTTATGTGAAGGTTGTGATCAATGGTGACCTAATTAGAGCCATAGTTGACAATGAGACCACACATAACTTCATGACCTAAAAGGAATCATAGAGTTTCTAGCTAGCACTAACATAAATGGCAAGCTTCATTAAGATAGTGAATACCATAGAGGAACCCATGGCCAATATGATTGAAGTTGTTCCCATACAAGTGAGAATGTTGTTGGGACAAGTAGACATCTTGTCAAGGATGATTTAGAATGATACTTAACCTCAATTTCCTAGGCAACAAAAGGAGGACAATTAATCACAATGAGTTCATCGACAAGGAGACCCAATCAATGTTGTTGGAATGGATCCTATGCATGTTGAAGGAGAATACAACTTGTTGCTAGAAATTGTTGATGTTATTGTCTCTATGCCATGATATCAATCACTTCATCAGAAGAATCATAATGAAATGAACTATATCTTTGTAAATTTAAAATAAACAAATTATCACTAAATAGAATAGAAATTAAGTTGAAAGTAAGAAAACAAAGTTCTAGCATCGCGACAGCGATGTGTCAGCAATGCATCAGAATCCTGAGCGTTCGGGAGGATCATCGTGCAGTGTCCATGGCCTCAAAGGCTCTCCTTGGACAAGGACGACATAGGTAATCTCTAGATCTCTTTACAAAGTCTAGAAATCAAAGAAATGAGTTGTTGAATCATCTTCGGTAGTTGTCACCTAGCGGAGTGGAAAAATGGCGACTTTGCAACTCTCCAACGACTGTCACCTGACAGAGAGGAGCTGGATGGAGGTAGGGTGCATGTCAAAGAGCTTCATCCTTAAGTCCCCACAGCAAGAGGAGACTCTTCATTACATCTGGTACGCTCTCAAGAGGTGACAACTCGTCTCCCGATGGATCGTCCTCTTCTTGATGACAACTTGTTCGTCGATCAATCGGAGATGCTTTACTCGATAGATTCATGATCTTTCTATCACGAATCGTTCAATAATTTTAGTAACAATGCTCCGCAAATCGCATTGACGAGATTTTTGCTGATGATCCAGCGATTCTAGTTGCTTAATCCTTCATCGATGATCTGCAGAAAAGTCACGATAATCAGATAAAAAAATATGAGTTTTGGCTCTAGAAGGATTCAAACCCGCGCCGGTTGCCCGCCTTTTCTAGGGAAGGTGACACGGGTTTAGTCCCATTATCAATTGTGTGCAAAATTTCTGGTGAATATAAAGTAATATTATATTTTCGATCAAATCCCTTTCTCACGCGTGTAGGGCCACTCCTTGCCCCACAACCGACTGGCCACCGGTGACGTGGAAGGGGAGTGGCGCACACGTGCCCCCATCGGTTCAAGTCGCTCGAGCCCCTGCTCGTGGCTCCTGCCCGACTGCGCTTTCGACCCACTTGCAAGCTCAGCTGGTTAGCGGGTCCCCCCCCTTTTGCTATATTTTTATTTTAATTTCTTTTCTTTCATTTGTCTCAAAAGTAAGATTGTAAAAATCGTATAAAATCACATAATTACCCAAAAATTCACGTTAATCAATTGAAAACTACTTTTCACACTTTAACACAAATATAAGTCTATTTATCATGAGTTAAGGCTAAAACTATATTATTTACTAATTATTAACTCATGATAATGAAGACTTATCACACCCCCCAACTTAAATCATTACTAGTCCTTTAGCAATGAAATTACGAAAATAAAATTTTACAAATCTCAAACATCATATTTCAATACATAAAAAAAATACAATTAGAAATGATGCACCTTTAGACACTTTTGACTCTTATATCAAGTATTTAAGAATGATGTCAAGCACTTAAATGTTTAAGCACTTCTTAGAATAACAATTTAGACCACTTTTTCTATTCACATCTTTATTACTTCTTCATTCATAGATATATTTACAAGATGTTTCAATTATCAATAATTATCCAAGAATAATATTGATCCTACATTTCCCTTTTTCCATGACTTGATTTTTGAAGTGTGCACTATATTTCTTCCTTCTTCTTTTTTTTTTATATATATAGTGAATAAGTAGTTTTTCTTGTAGACAAATTTCGACAATAAGAATGATGTCTTACACCCTCCATGTGTACTCTTCGTTTTCAGGGCTTTCACTTTATCTACTTATTTTGCAGCAAATGTTTTTTTATACACGATTTTTGACAATGAGAATGATGTCTCACACCCTCCATGTGTACTCTTTGTTTCTAGATTTTTCACATTACTCTCTCTCTTTTTTTCAAAATAAGTGATTTCTTCTCACAAGTCCTATAAATCTGGGTGCAAAAATTTCTATTAAACTCAAATGATCAATCAAATTTTCACATCAAGTAAATACTATCCATCAAGATCATGAAGTGAAAATCTATAAAATCAAATCCATGTTATCTATCATATATCCAAGGAGTATTCCAACATTTCATGCTACTAGATCATTCTTTTGACTCAATAATAATCTTCTTAGTATCTTTTGATATTAATCAATCTAATCGATTTAATTTTTCATGCATGCAATATGATGTAAAAAATTTGTAAATTAGATAGCCCTGACAGTTCTATTTTCTATTTTCAGTTTTGTTTTTAGCAACAATAAATTTGTCAAAAATAAATCAAAACTATCTTCTTTATAGCTGTAATTTTGAATTTCAGTAATATATGCCTAGGGGATTGAAATTTTAGAAAAAGGTCTCTAGAATTTTAAATTTCAGGCTATTTTTTGTCTACTAGTTTTTGACAGTCTGTTGTTCCTGACAGAAAACCAGAAAATAGATGTTGTAGTTTTTCTGAATTTTATTTTATTTTTTATTTTTTCAGTTGCTATTCTAATGCAAACACATGTTCTTAATCGTCCTACAGCATAAATTAATAATGAATACTTTACCCCCTAACTTAAAAATGACATTGTCCTCAATGACATAGAAAAATCGAAATAGAATATACAAAAAATATAATTTTCAAGTGAAGCATGCATATGTACAAAGTTAAACATTAAAAATATTTTCATAAACGATAAAGTTCAGAAAGACATCACCTCAACCTCATTTTTAATTTTCCACTTCATCTTACACTCTTCCTCTTGCATTTT